TTGCTGTTTTGAACTATCAGTGTCCATAATTGTTAGTGTTATGTTGTTTTGAACTTGTGTCCATATTTTCAGTGTTATGCTGTTTTGAACTGCCAGTGTCTGTAATTGTTTTGCTGTTTTGAATCATCAGTGTCTGTTTGTTATCAAGTAAATATGTTGAACAAAGTTACAGTTATGGTTTTTGCTTTTTTAATTTAGGAAAAGATTTACAATTGTCCAGAGTTGAACTGAGCTCAGGTACAGACAGGTAAGCTGTACTTACCAAAATAGTACTGCTTTACAGTTTAATCCACACAAGTAAAGAAGAACAGTGTAATCATATATCAACAGGGACTAAGGTGATTGTTTGGGCAAAATCCATTGAATGGCGGTGAGTGGTGCTTTCTGTGACCTCTCTTGCTTATTTGTAGCATTATCACTCATGTCTGCAGATTATTTATTTTACCAATGACTGCAACTTTTAGTCCTCTACAAGAATATCATCATCAAATTGCCCTAGCTTAGTGTATCCATACCTTAGAGATTAACCAAGATAATTTGTGACCTGATTTTAGGGAGAAAGTAGGTGTACAATTCTGTAAAGTTTTAAATGATTGTCTGAAATTGTGTAATGCACATCAGTACCATAAATTTTGTTTGCTAGAATCTTCATGATTGTAGAAAGTCTTAATGTAATTTTAGGACTGTCAGTATCAAAAATACAATGATCTTATCTGCTAGTGTTATTTTGGTATACCAGTTGATTTTTTGCGGTATTACTCCTTAGTAGAGGATTTTGTGCTTCAAAGAATGGATTTCACAATTTTTTTAAAGTATATGAACACATCCTGAAACCAGTATATAATGGGAAACCAACACCCAACCTAACCTTTCTTGCCTTCTATTTATTACCTAGACAGAGAGGCAAGCCCCCTGTACTCCCTTTATTAGCACCTTGTGCCAACCTATAGATAACAGACATTAAGAACTCTGTCCGTGTGAGGATGTTGTGGACTTTGTCTTTTAGCAGTGATATGCAGCAAATATTTTCATGATTTTGCGGTAAATATGAGGACGCAGCAGCTTAAACTATGTGGTTTCTGACTCAGTTTCTTACACTCTATATCCATGTGTTGCTCTCTGTAACTTAGAGCAAAATTATTTGCTTTATGGTAAGCAATATGTAATGATTATCAAATTTTAATCTTGCATATATGGACAATGTTCTGTTTTAATCTTCAAAGAAATTGTTATTCCATAACATCCAAATTAAACATTTATTTACATTAATTGTATGATAATGTAGTGTCTGAAAGGAAATGCATGTGCACACACATGCCCACACACATGCACAAAAAGTTCATGCCCAAACACTTGCACATATGAGCATGCATGCGCACATGCACCCACCCTTATCCACCTGGAAACAAACAAAAACTAGCAAGTAGTTAAACAAGCAAAGGAGGGGTGGAGAGGGTGACTGAACTATGATTCATAGTGATTTTCTCACTTCATCCAGAAATATTACCAATTAGTGGTTACTAATAGAATACAGAAATATAAATGTAGAAGTCACAGCTGGTTGGCAGGCAATTAGGCACATTCAGGCAGTCATTCATAGAGATAAATAAATAGATTGACATACAAATTTAGACTAATAGAGGTAATATGAGTGATCCCTATAACTTTCTCAATCTCAGTTTCAATAATAATGCGCAGGGTGCTAACAAGCACATAGCACACACATTAAAAACAGCAAATCATTTTTTGTAATTATTGGTTTAATCCAGGACTTATTTCATTTTTCAGTGGTTTTGAATCTTTACTATTGTGAAGTTACAATTTAAAAGTTTCCATCTTGATTGAATAGGTCCTTGATTGGTGTTATGGTAGCCAAACAGGTAATTGAGAGCTTCTGTGGTTGTTTTATGTCACAATTTATTTGCCATGAAATATGTATCAATTGATTTGTCAGATTTTCGAATAGTTTTATAAAGATGACTTTCATTTTTGTATAGGAACCAGAACAGAAGAAAAGTATGAAAGGAAATGACATTGATGAGCACAAGCAAATCATGTTGACTTGGGATGTTCTTACGGACTCCAAAATCCTCATAGTAAGGCTGCTGACACTGCCACTCTGTAGTTCATCAGCAAAGCTCACCACTCCTCAGTGTCTTTGCTTCCCTGATCTGGATCTGCTTCTGCCTCAGTTCTTTTTTCTGGGTCACCTCTGTTCTTTCTCAGAGTTGTCCATTGATCACTTGTGTATTTATAATCACCTGTGCATCTATTTTCTGTGCCGTATTTCTTTTATTGCAGCAATTGAGGAAGGAGTATTTTGGTTTAACCTCATCTGCATATTGATAGCAAAAAATAGTTGGTAGCATTATTAGCTGTCTGGGGTTGTAGAAAATAGGAAGAACATTCACCTAGTATATTTTTGGGTAACGTGTATTACCGGAAATTAGTATCATGTATAAAATGAAAAGATATAGTTGTCTCTTGTCTGTAAAGTTGCTATGGGTGAAATTCATTATGAGAAGAAAAAGGTCATTGTAATTATAAATCCTTACATAATGTTTTTATTGGTAATGGAAATTGTATTTTGTCGATTTACCATGTATATCATATATTTTTTTCTTTCATTTACAGGAAAGATGAGTGGGAAGTCTAAATGTGTACTTACAGAAAATGGCGTACTGGAGTTGTATAGCCAAAATTTACAACATTCTATTAATGTGCAAGTAAGTTTTTCTTTTCTTTTCTTTTTTCTTTTCTCTAATTTTCTTTTCTTCAATTTTCTTTTCTTTTTTCTTTAATTTTCTTTTCTTTGATTTTCTCTTCTCTTTCTCTTCCTCATCCTATTCTCTTCCTCTTCCTTTTCCTCTTCCTCTTCCTCTTCCTCTTCTCTTCCTCTTCCTCTTTCTTCCTTTCTTCCTTTCTTCCTTTCTTTCTTTTATGAATACCTTACTATTTTAATTTTGATGTATTAACAAACCAACTTTGCATAATATAACATAGAGATGAAATTCATCATACAAGCAGTTATCAGCTATTTACCATCAAAATTTCTCCTTTACAGGTTATCTTCGTAGCAACTAATGACATGATGTCTACCTCCGTTTATCTGACGGAAAACATGTCTCTCCCGTTGTCTTACTTGTGAAGAAAGATGGCAAGCCTGGTTTTGGTGTTGGTGCTGTTCTTACTATTCATGATGTAAGGGAACTGTAAAATTTTGATCTTTTTATGTGAATTAAGAAGTCACTGGAATGTCTTTCTTAGTTTTAGTTCTGGAGTAGTCAGTGTGCTTTTTGGTAATAGCTCGTGGTATCTCACTTTACAGAGAGAAAAATCTTTAATCCACTTTGCTTCAGATGTAGGAATGAGGGATTAAAATTGACGCATTAAGTGTGAAGAACTGAAGATATGGGATTTTAACCTTATTTAGACTGCTGTTAGTTTGTATTGAACTGTAGGTACTGGTAATATCTTTCTTTATTAAGATTGAAGTAGATCTAAATTTTACCAAGGTATCTACAGTTGTCAGTTGTGAATTTTTGTAGAATGAAAAGGAAAGAATGTGGATGTAAAAAGTAACATTGCTCGTTATCAAAGTGGTTACACAATGATCCATTTTGAAATTGTTTTAAAATTCTATAAAGGCATCTCTTCTTGCAGGTTGCAATGCATATAGCACCAGGGAAATCGATAAGAATGAAAAAGATAGTAACTTAGTAGAAGTTGGGTTTAACCAGGTGATTATCAAAAGTATAATATACTGCAAAGTCAGTCATCTGTTGGTAAAATCCTTGGATCTTTGGATCAATCTGCAACATATAGGGACGCTATCAGACATGTCCAAGAACCATTAGTAAGTAGTATTTTCTGTTGAGTTTTTGTTGTACTCTTGATATATGGAAAAATTTTGTTTCAATGCATAACCTCTTTATATCATTTATTAATGTTTGTTTCCTGTTTTCTACAGAGATTAAATGATTGTAAATTTGAAGCCTATATTAAATTTGTAAGTATATACAGGTGGTATGTTGCTTTTTTTATATTTTTTCTCTAATCTTATATTGCATTGATGTAAATGTCAAGTAATTGCAGCAAAGGACTAAGTGTGAAGTTAAGATATTCACATTGAAAATTGAAATGAAGGTTTTTACTTTTTAACAGGTTAAGTGATTAATTTAAACTTGAATGTTTCCTTCAGGATGCTAAAACATGCAAGCAACTCATGGCCGAGGGTGAAAAGGCACGAGAAAAGGGCAACTACTATTTTAACAAAAAAGATTTTAATCAAGCAATAATCCATTATGATATAGGTATGCATGATGCTAGAATTGTTTTCCAGTGTAAAATAAAATAATATGCTCTGTTTGAATTTGCTGAAGACAAGTACAATAAATTAACTGAATTCCATCTAAAAAAACAAAGCAAAAAATTATCAACAAAAATTGATATATAATCACTCATGTATGTCTTATATATCATGTTGGTTATTTGTCTTGCTATTTATATGACCACCTACATTTGGCCTCGGCAGCAAAGAAAAAGGACCCTTACGATCACCGGGTTTGGTCCAACTGCAGTCAGGCGCTCTTTAAGGTGGGGCAGTATGCCTATGCTGAGTCGGATGCCCTCATTGCCATCAAGTTGAACCCTTTCATATGAAGGTATGTCTATCTGTAGGTCTAGTTTACAAACTAGATTTCTCTCTCTCCACTTTTGTAAAATATTTTATTTCTAGTGTCATTGTTGTTCAGTCATAGTAGTCATAGTCTTATTCATTGCTATTACCAGTGCTTTCCATTATTGCTGTTATAATTGGCTGTCTTAATTATCATTGTAATCTATTGTCATCATCTTGTGTGATTAGACTTGTAGCTATTCTGCTTGTGTTATTTCTATATTTATGTACATGGATGCCTCTTTTTGTTTATATGTTTTTTTGTGCTTGTTAAAAAGTTCTTATTGATTTTGATGGATGTTACCCACAGTGAAAAATTGTTTGATGTTTAAGAAATCTATTGAAGAAGTTAGCTTATATATTGTTATTGTTATTATTATTATTATTATTATTATCATTATTATTATTATCATTATTATTATTATTTTTGTTGTTGTTGTTGTTATTGTTATTATAATTATTGCTATTGTTCTTAATGTTATTGTTATTATTATTCAATGAAACATAACAAAGGAAAACACATTTATAGAGGTTAAAGAAAACAGTGTTTGTGTTAATTTCTATGAAAATTGCCTTTTTCCAGTTTCTGTGTGCTTTTTAGTGATAGATTTGTTATAAAGTTTATATATAAAGTTTATTTTAAGGTCACAGTTTGACAGTTTTTTTTTAAGTCTGTACATTTTTTGCAGGCCTATTATCGAGCAGGACAGGCTGCCTCAAAACTGTCCAGGAAATCCATTGCGGAAGTCTATGCACGCTCTGGTATTTTTGCATGTGGCAGCAGTTCAGAACTCCTACAGTTATTAGAAGAAACTCTTAATTCCTCCAAAAAAGGTAAGGCAGTTTGCAAGTTGAAAAAAAAGTAAATCAAGTATTTAGGGAAAGAAATGTTATATTTTTATTCAAATGCATAATGCTGCAATCTTTAGTGGCAAAATTACATATTATATGTGATCTTTTTTCATCCTTTTAGCCAATATAGAAATTGCAGCAGCATCATTATCTTCAACCAGCATATCCGTTACTAGCAAGTTAGAGCAGGAATATGCCAAACTTGGCTCTAATACCCGTGAGTACTTATTTAGAATTTTACCAATACTCAGTGTGGGTGTGGGTGTGAGTATGGGAGCGTGAGTGTAAGTGACTGTGTAGGTGTAAGTATGAGTGAAAATGTAACTGAAAGTGTGAGTATGTAGCTAATGTCAGCATAAGTGTAAATGTAAGTGTGGTTGTGAGTAAGAGTGAAAGTGAAGGTACAAGTTTAATTGTTAGTGTAATTAAAAGTGTGGGTGTAAACATAGGTGTATGTGTTCAGAAATATTGATTATAGCATAATCAAATTGCTTCAGTTTAGGCTCATTTTCAGAATTGGAAATTTTTCATAATGTTGAATAATACATATTGATAGGAAGTCACACAAAATACTTTCATGTAATGGAAAATATGTTTGTAAAATCTTGACTTCATCTAGTTTTGAAATGATTTTTAAAATGCATTTGCGCTTCAGCCTATACGTACAAAGTGACAAAGGGAACGCAAGCTAATATCGTGGAGGTCACCATACATGACAAATGTGAAAATCAAAAGGTATGTAAAACTTTTTCCTTGGGGAGGAGGGTGGCAGTTGGGTTGTTAGGACATCTTTGATTTCATATTTTTAATTTGATAGCCAACAGTTGTGATTTCTTTGTGTTGAGTGTTAACTTGGGTAAGAACATTTTTTCTTTAAATATTTTTGCTTGGATAGCCCATAGTTCTGAGCCTCACATGTTAGTATTTTAAACTTGATTGGCTTCTGTTTTTACAGGGAACAGGGAAAAAGTCTAAACAAGAGAAAGGATCAAAGGAAAATCTAGTACAGTAAGTCACCAAGTATTTTAAATTTTGAAAACCCTCACTCAGTTGTTTGAATGGTTATTCTGATTATAGATTTTTTAAATAATTAGATATACCTGTCCAGGAAGATCTTGCTGTATATGCAGTAGTATGTATATCCTCAATCTGCTTGTGCTGACAGTGTTTTAACCCATTGCTACAGGGGTGGCATGTACATACATGCCATGCTTACAATGGGTTTACTTTATTAATTGTATTTATGCATAGATAAATCACAAGTGCTTAGTCACCAAGGAGTCATTTACTAATCCTAATTATCTCACCTGTTACCCTTTTCCTTTATTTTCAGAAATATTTTATTTTATATTGCTGTTAGTGTTGTTCATGACTAATAATTCTAATGCCAAAAGTATTGATAACAGCATCAATATTAATAGCATTAATTTCCCCCCCAAAAAAAAAAAAAAAAAAAAAATCAAGAAAAGGGGAAATCATTTAAGGTCAAGTTGACTTTAATTGGCTCCTTGGGACTACTAATTGGCATATCACAAGACAATACATCAGATTTTTCCTGGCAGTATTGGGTCATGAAGTAGTTGATTTCAGTTAATTTCTTATCAAATAGAAGACCAGAGTTGTGGTTAAAACAACATTGAAAATGAAATGAGGATTTTCTGAAACTTGCAACTTGTTCCATGAATGTTATTGAGGTGATTCTTTTTCGTTATTATCTATGGCTTTGGTTTATTTTTTCATCTTCCATTACAGTATTGCAGGATTGGCCCAGTTGGAAGAACGTTTAATGAATGAAGTACATGAAATGTGGGATAAAGGTGAAGAGAGAGAAAACAATAAGCAGAAAGGTAATAACCATGAAAAGGAGAAAAAGGTAGAAGAAAAGCGAAGAACTAAGGTAGAAGAGATAGGAAGACTGGTAAGTGTTTTACAGTGCAGGTTTTGCATGTCAGTAATGCTTTTTATGCATT